GAATATTTTTTCCATTTTATTTGTGATTTTGTTGGTCTTTAAGATTGAGAGCTGTTGTTTTTTGAGAGTTCTCATAATATAAAAATTATTTCCTATGGGATTTTTAGTGTTTGATATTCTTTTATATATATATATATATATATATATATATATATATATATATATATATATATATATATTATTTACACTATTTACATTGTATGTATATATTCGATAGAGTATATATGAAAAAGAAAGATATGAATAAAGACAAATGGAAGACAAACTGTTTATATGCAAGAGAATGACAACGAAAAGACGATAGATAGATAGATAGATAGATAGATAGATAAAGACTCTGATAGATATATAAAAAAAAAGACCCTGATAGATATAAAGAAAAAGATAGATAGATAGATAGATAGATAGATAGATAGATAGATAGATAGATAGAAAAAGACTGATAGATATAAAGAAAAAGACCCTGATAGATAGATAGATAGATATATAGATAGATAGATAGATAGATAGATAGATAGATAGATAGATAGATAGATAGATAGATAGATAATGAACAGACTGAGATAGATAGATAGATAATGAACAGACTGAGATAGATAGATAGATAGATAGATAGATAGATAATGAAAAGACTGGTATAGATAAATGCTTCCACCCAGTTTTTGCCCAGTTGGTTAGAAGCCTAGTGTTTATTTATTTTTTTTCCTTTAATATGTGTTTTCGCCTTGAAAGACAGAAATGCCAAACTGAAATGTCAACGCATACTTCGCTTCCGTACCAGTTTCCATTCACCTGATCCCAGATCTACTGACCTCTCACTCATTCCTAGCGAGTTTAAACCTGCCTTATCGCTTGCGCATGCTCCAACACTGGCTTACTAGACCAACGTTGCCGGCTGCCATTTTGTCAAAATTCTATGTTTTACAAACAATGTTTTCCTTCTCAATGCCATTAAATTGTGCAGAGAATGTTACAAGCAAAGCGGAGAAATGTTAATGCAGTTGTATACAAATTTGGCAGCAATCAAAAAATAAGTTAAATAATATATATATATATATATATATATATATATATATATATATATATATATATATATATATGCATGTATGGTTGATAAGAACTGGTCGGCTGTGTTTGATTTTTTTCTTGTTAATCATGAAAAGTAAAATAAGTCTGACCTTTTTATTGCTCTCTCTCTCTCTCTCTCTCTCTCTCTATATATATATATATATATATATATATATATATATATATATATATATATATAGTTGTATATATATATATATATATAGCAATAAAATCCAGGTCTCATTAGAAACGAAAGATTAAATGCGAATCGAAAATATTTTTTTAATTTTTTATCCGTTAACAATAACACATTTCCCAAAAAAACATAAATTAAAAAAATTAAGAATAAATTAAGTTAATAATTAAATAAAAAAATTAATAAAATAATTTAAATAATTATACTGACGTTCTTGTTTTTGAAACATGAGAACTCTTATGTAGCGAAAGAATCATACTTTTATAATTATAATTATAATATATATATATATTACAAACTTAAAATTTTACAACAAAAGATGAATTTTAAATTTACCCTTGAGACAACAATATATATATATATATATATATATATATATATATATATATATATATATATATATATATATATATATATTGCTTAAACGTTACTTTTATGGATACCTATATTTTAGTCGATGCTCGGAATTTTGAAGATCAATGTTGGATGGAAAACAGAGTAAAACGCCAAAAGGAAAGAGGGAACAAGCGATAAAATAAAAAGAAAAAATTGAAAATAAGAAAGGAATAGAAAAGAAAAAAAAAAAAAAAGAAAACAGATTTAAGCAACTGAAAAAAAATGAAATGAAAAGAAGTGAGCTGCGAATAAACTACTGCATTTAAATTAATTAAAGAAAGAACCAAAGAAGGAAAGAAAAAAAAAACGAAATGAAGGAAGAAGTAGGAATAAAATATAAAAAACCTTTATTTAAGAAAAAAGGAAAAAAAGAAAAAGAAAACGTTAAGACATTGGGAAAAGGAATGAAAAAAACTCGGATGAATGAAGGGGGAAATGAAGGAAAAGCCTTTATTGAAAAAAAAAGAAAGAATGAAAGAAAGAATGAAAAAAAAAGAAAAAATGAAAGATGAAAGAAAAAAAAAATGAGGGAAGAAGCCTTTATTGAAGAATAAAAAAAAAAAAAATGAATTAAAGAAAATAAAGAAGGAAAAGAAAGAAAGAAAAGAAAGAAAAAAAAAAAAAAATAAATAAAATAAGATTTAAGATAAAAAGGAAGAAAAAAGAAGAAAAAAGAAATGAAGGAAGAAAGAAAACGAAATGAAGGAAAAGCCTTTATTGAAAAGAAAAAAAAAGAATGAAAGAATGAAAGAAAGAAAGAAAAAAAAAAAAACGAAATGAAGGGGAAGAAGCCTTTAAAGAAAAAAAAAAATAGAAATGATTGAAAGAGAAAGAAAGAAA